TCCCTACAGTGTCACTGTGTTGTATAACACAACTTCAAGCAAAGTATTTTCCCAGCATTAGATAACTTGTGTAGTGAAAGAAAAGATTTCTAACTTTCATAGATGCAGCAGAGGTTAGGAGGGAAGATGATTAAAGGGGCATTGTTCACTAAATTGACATTTCAAACTTAAATATGTTTGGGTTTTAATTGATTAAATATATCAGAATCCCAATTCCTATTTTTATCTGTTCTTTTTCTGTCTTGAAATTAATATAATTGCAAATTTGGAAAGACAATTCTTTATGGAGGCTGTGAAAAATTTAAGTGCTATTAGGAGCCTTTGAAGAAGGTCACTTACCATACAAGCAGCCTGGACAGCTTCTGATACATTGCCTGCATTTGGTTCACACCAAAAAACATGGCACTCAAAATGCTGGTTTCCTGTATCCATAATGAAGGCAAACGTGTGAATGTCCTTGCCTACTCCCATGAAGGACAGGAACCGCACACGACACTCCACCATGATTTCCTCTTCATTCTGGTTATGAATCAAATGATTGAACATTACTATTCTGTGGAACTTTACTTTCTAGTTTCAATTGATTAAAAGGGGGAGAGACTGAGGCAGTATTGTGGAATTCCTTTTTATCTATCTGTATATATCCAGTGTGCTCAGCCCTGGGCTGGATCTCCCCTTCTAGGCTGTCACCAGAAGATGAAGGCTTTGAGTGTTGGCACTGAGCATGTAGTGCATTTCAAGTACTGCTTGTTTTGTCAAGAACTGTATGGCTACTATGACTCCCAAGGATACTGCCCTATCACTGGTATGTTAGCGATGCTGGTTTAAGACCTCATCAACAGACATATATAAAAGACATTCTTTGAAAGTTTCATTGTGTTCATCTCTGCAGAAAATGCTCTACAAAAGGACAGTGATGAGAAACACAGATTTTAATAGCACTCTTGGTTTCCATACCACAAGTAAAGTAAATACAGTTTAGAATTCAGGATTGCTACCTAGCACTTAACCTACAATATTTTAGGCTCAAAATTCCTAGAAAGGATAACAATGATTTTGTTTTAAGTATCTAATGAATACTGATAATGATTTGTATTTTTGAGAACATGCTTGGAATAGCAAACAAAGCTGAAGCTGATACAAGCAGTAAGAGCCCCTGCAGATTAATACCCTGGAAAGAAATAAAATGCAAGATAAGCAAATAAATTCTAGTACGAATTAACTCTTTCTACTAGTGTTTATGTGTTCCTGGTTTTCAACACTCAGATTACGTTAAATATGTTCTCAACAAGACACTCTGCCTTACTTTTTCATTGATGACTGTGACAGTAGCATCAGCAACATTCATGGTAACTGGCATCCAGTCTTCTTTGCTAGAGGAAGCCATTAGACTTTCAATGGCACTATTCAGAGTATCCATTCCTAAAATAGAACAAAATGCAATAATGAAAAATAAATACATACATAAAGGATAACAAAATATTTATTTTCACATAGTAGTACAGAAAACAGATTGTTTTCGACTCCTTATTAAAATGCATTTCATGATGGAAGGAAGGGCTGTGAAGCTGGTTTTCTTCAACTGCAGAAAAAACCCAGGTGCCTCTGGCTTAGAAAAATCAGGCTTGCAGCTTGTTTAGCTGCTGCACCATTTCACTTCTTTAGGGCCCTCCTCATCAGTAGCAGAGCTCATATTCAGAGAAAGCAGAAGAAAGAAACTGCTTTCTTGGCAGCTCCCAAAATACTCTGGTTGCAACACGCATGTTCAAAGGAGGCCCTGAATACTAGATGTCTTCACACCCTACCCTTCAAAAATCGCCAGCCCTTAAGAGTTTATGCAAGGTACTTTGGAAGTCACTCAAGTGTTACATACCCACAGGTTTAGCTACAGGTAGCATGCCCAGGTACTGGACGTGAAACTTCTGTACCAGTTCTGTCTTTGGTGTTGGGAAATCTACTGCATGGGAACAAAAATCAATTTCTGTTTATCAGCATTCACAGCAGGGAAAAACCCTTTTATTTCATCAATAACATAAAATAATTTACCCAGTAATTGTACTTTGAAGGTATTGTATGGATTAAAACAAATTTTCACTCCCTCTGACAAGAACAATGCTTAATAATTTCTAAAGGAATTAGGAATAACTTTGCATCACCTACTTCTTGATGTGAGCTAAGAATAAGGTCACGTTATATTGCTGTCATATTAAAAACCAGAAAATACAGATGAATGTGTCGCTGAGACATACAGACCTAAGTTTCACTGCATAAATATGTAAAATCTGGAATCTGGTTTTAATACCATCTCTGTTAATATGTTAAACACAGTCTATGAGTAATCAATAGTACTGTCCAAGCAGACAATTATACAATGTTCTTCTGTAATACTTTCAAAATCATAGAATGGTTTGGGTTGGAAAGGACCTTAAAGATCATTGAGTTCCAACCCCCCTGCCATGGGCAGAGGCACGTTCCACTAGACCAGGTTTTTCAAAGCCTCATCCAGCCTGGCCTTGAACACCTCCAGGGATGGGGCATCCACAGCTTCTCTGAGCAACCTGTTCCAGTGCCTCACCACCCTCACAGTGAAAAATTTATTCCTAATATCTAATCTAAATCTACCATAATTCAGTTTAAAGCCATTCCCGCTCGTCCTATCGCTACACTCCTTGATAAGCTATTAAGCTATGACTAATAAAGACATGCAAAGGCAACTTTCTTTTACCATGCAGTAGAGTGCAAAAGACCCTTAAATTGGATGACAACCCCCTTGCACCTCTTACCTTGGAAGCTGCTAAAACTGATGCTGAAACCAAGGAGGAATCCCCCTGTAGCTTCCCTGAATCCAAGGGATTAACGGGTATTGACCTGGTTTCAGTCAAACCATAATAAGTATATTCTGTTTTTAAGGAAGATTGGCCAATTTGTGCAGTCTCAAGTCATGAGGTATTTTATGTGAACAAGACAGTATGTGCAAGTAAGTAAGACTGCATTTTCAAAATCTGTATTTTGAAATAAAAGATGCAATGCACAAGCTGATATAACTGAGCAACTGTCAACACAACCTAGAAAAATGTTTAATCTAATACAGTAGAAAGTTACAGTCAGAGATAGTAATTAAAAGACAGGATTACACTCCTGACCTCTCCACCCACCATGTTCCATCTTGGTCAGAAGCAGAATCAGAAACAAAACATACCTAAAATAGGACCATCCCAAGGATACTACCTGTAACATACAGTACCTTGCAGAGGAACATCAAGGGTGACATTTGTCCTCTCTTGCAATGAGCTGCAAGCCATAGCTTTAGCATTCTTCCGTTCGGCCATAATCTGAAGAAGATAATGATCATAAAGCATTAAAAAAAAAATAGTCATGTAGCAACTACAAGTATAAATTTACTCGTATTACAACCCTAGTTTCTGAAATCTGAAGTAAGTCAGAAGCCGCATGACGAAACAGTTCAATCTTTTTAAATACCAACTTTAATTTTCCTCTCAGTTATTCACCATTCCTTAAGTATATAAAGAACTTAAGCGGTGTCCAAACCTAGATGAAAGATACATGGAGAAGGAAAAAAAACTACCCATTTTTGTCAACAGAAAAATTGCAGTAAGGGGTAATATACCATGAAATGTAAATTTTTAACACACAGAGAAGAATGTTCATTATTCATGTTCCTCTCTGATCTATCTTCTGCTGTGCATAATTTTTCCCTTCATTCTTATGTTTCTTCTGGAATTAAAAATCCCATGCAAAGTACAATCTGTTCTTCCCTCAAAAAGTATAATATTACCAAAAGAGGGAAAAAAAAATCTCACTTCAAAATATCCATTTTGGACAATTATTCCCTACAAATACATGACTGCGAAGGGACCTAGGGAAGCTAAGAGAGTTTTTCCACAGCTCATATATGAAGTTTTGCTATCTGCTTCTTTATGCTATGACTGTTAATTGTAATTAAGCTATAAAGATAACTGGTGTTCAAGCAGATGACACATGGTCTGAAGATGCTTCTAGCAAATATCTTTTTTTTTTTTTAGGTTTTGTATTTTGGAAGTATTTTCTGTTACAGAGTCACATGATAATATTCCCCTCTGCAAATGAAAAATGATACACGCTAGCTTAGGATGAAGCCCTGACTCAGCAAAGAGGTCCAGCATGTCAGTAAATGCCAAGTGGTTCCCTGAAACAGGAATACATCTATTGCTGAATTACGAAAGAACATGGTCTACTAAACAATACTGTCCTGTTTTATTCTGTGTTACTATTAGCTATGGTTTTAAATGCTTAGTGCCTCTCTTATCCAAAATTAATGCCAGGAATTTCATGTCATAGTTACATATGTGACAGCTCTACTGCCTTTCTGATACCCCAGTGTATAGCTACTGTGGCAGTTATTGATGTTGACCTTACTGGATAAAAGCAGCTGTGGTAGGGCCTGTGGAGCATATTTTTCCCTGCTAGACTTGCCCGAAACATCTGTGAGAACTGAGAGCTGGAGGAGAAAGAGGAGAGACATACCAGATCTAGGCTTCTCCATTCAGCCATTGCTGTAGTCCCTGGTGTCAAACTTCACCAAGCACAGCCTGCAGCTCCCTGGCCACCCTGAGCAGCTCCCTGACCCTGACACCTCAGGGACCCAAGCCCCTGACACCCTCAGGCACACAAGCCCTGACAGACCTGCCAGGCTTTGCACAGTTGCTGGGCTACCTTCTGCCTCTGCCTCAGGCAAAACTCTGCTGCCCAGAAGGTTACAGACACCCTGTGTAAACGCTCACGTTGTTTGCATGAAACACCACAGGGTCAGTAGCCATGTCCGCAGTGTTGCAGAAATGAAAAATTTTTAGACTATACAACTGGCTACAGAGGTGAATTTGACATCACTGCTGCCTTGCTACTGCTGCATGAAATGACCGTACAGAGGACACTCATGAACTGATCATGCAAGAAAAGCAAAATGAATAACCACGGAATGGCGCCAAATGCATATGGTAAAATGACTGAGAAGAACAGCCCTCTCCAGTATTACAGACAATACAACCACAAGCAGGAACTAAGATCCTTTATTATTTGTAACTGGAGTAGCTCAACTCCCCCCTTCCCCCTGATTTTTTAAGTGGGCAGCATCATGTTAGCAGAACTATTTTCAGATCTGTCCTGCTTTGAAGAATACCATTCAAAAAAGGTCTCATTTATTTACAAAGTTAAACATCACCATTAATTGAAACTGCATGTTCTTCTTCCATTTTGAACCCACAGCTTCTTTATTATTCAAGAAAACCTTCAGTCTCTATACACACTAGTCAAATCAAAAGCACGTGCCATCATCCTCAAAGCTAAATTCTCACTCTCCCATTACTCCCATCCATTTGTGTCCTTTTCTTTACAAATCCTCTACACTGTTTCTTGTTGCCAGTAACATAAACTAAACTAGCACTGCATACAACCACTGATTGTATGTACTAGGCTCAGGGACCTATAAACAGACAAATGCAGCTGACTTTAAATCCACTTACCTTTGAGCAGATTTCGTGTAAACTTGTGGCAATGGCTTTTGCAGGTGTGTCACATCGAAACACGTGACATTTCAGAATTCTTGTGTCTTTGTCTCTTGCCACATAAGCAAAGTCTCTGTGTAAACAAAATGAATTGACACATTAGAAACAAACAATACTAATTAAGGCATTAGAATAGAATTAGAATAGAACAGTATTATCTCCAAAACAGCAAGTCCTACTTAAATTTAACAAGCGCAAGTCTCGGCTGTCATAAAACACATGCCTTAGACAAAGCAGATTGTCAAATGTAATAAATTGCATACCCACAAAACATGTTACATTTGGTGCTTAACCTATACAATTAAAGAGCTCATTACAGTTTCCTAACACTGGCAGCTTATTGAATTTACAACACAATTCCAACTGCATTTGTAAATACACAGGAAAGTTTACTGAAATATTTTATCAAAGACAAAGCAGGGAAAAGATTGCAGATTAAGACAGAAAACACACACAGCTCTTAAATGCTAAAAAAACTGAGAAAAAGCACACGATATTCTAGTTAGAGAAAAATCATATTTCAACAGAGTGCATAAAGTGTTTAAAATATGCCAATAGTAATTAGCAATCTGGTTGCATAAGGGAGATGTGAACCTGCTGAGCTTTAGGCCACTAATTGGCCTAAATTTCTGACCTTATTTTTTCAGAAGTTAAATAAATACCAGGTTAAGGACAGCCCCAGCTCCAAGGGCCCATCACCATGGTCCCATAGTGCTAATTTGCTAATGACCCTCTTGGGAAAAAGACATTCATTAACTCATTCAAGTGTGGGAACCTGAAGCTGGTTCTGCAGGCACGCGGAGAGGGCAAACAGACAAAGCCAGGCTTCCTCCCCATTCAGTTAGCTTCTTGCTGTACCAGACTGCACTCCTTAGCCTTGCACCTCTGCCTTCTCATGTCCTCCAAGCAACCACAGCCCAGTCCTACTTTGCAACCCTCCCGCTATCACCAGGTTTCTTTGGGGTTTTGCGTCCCCAGCAGAGCTACGCTGAGTAGCTAACTACAATCAGACCAGCCAAGGGAAGCTGGAGCTCCCAGCAGCCTCTTACGTCTGAAGTCTCTTTCCAGTGCCTTTCCTCATACATGTAACTAACGACCAGCAAGATCCCCAACTGATAAGAGATAGGAGGGATATTTCAGGTGGACAAAACTCCTTATTGTCCTTCCCTCCTAAACCACGGGTTTTATATACAGGAATACTTCAGTTTATACTGAAGTCTGTAAATATCCCGAGCAGGGTTTAATGTAGCATGGATTGCCAATTTCTTCTTTCATTGCAGATGCCCAGCGAGTTAAAGAATTTTGCACTGAAGTTATGCAAGGAGAACCAGAGACTGTCGCTGACAGATATCTGGACTTCCAGCTCTGTACGAGATATGAATGCTGTCCTGCAGGTAAGTACCTTACATGTATTTAATTCAGTAGCACCAGATTTTGTCATTAATGAGCTCTTGCAATGAGAGGGGCAGCTGCCCACGGCCTGAGATGCTCAGGGAAAGGCACAGGTTGTTCCTCTGTTTAAGTGCTTTGCAACCCAAAGCCCGATAAATAATACTTTAAAAACCCCATAAAACTACCAGGAGCTGAGATCTGGAAAGAAGTCCATGTGACTGAACTGTGCAGAAACACAGTGAAGCTGGAGGGACCTCTCCATCTCACTGCATCCCAACCTGCAATGGGAGGCATCAGGGCACAGCAGAGACGAGGCAGCAGGTGCAGCAGCACCCCGCCAGCACGTGCAACACAGGCATCCTGGGGAGGGACAGTGTTACTACCAGTTGCTCATGATTTACAGGAAAAATCACAAAGCAATAATCCAGTAAGGTGCTGTCTATTGCAGCTGTGAGGTTTCCTGGCTCTAGCCTGACCCCCAAGCACATGGGTGACAATCTGCAAGAGCCTTTTGGCATGTTGTTCCCTTTTGCTACACTGCAAGTTCATGGAGATGCTGAGTTCCAGCTGGAATCTTGCTCCTGCAAAAAAGCTGATGCTTTTTGGCTTATCTGTACATGTGCCAAGCCTTGCTTTAGAAGGGCTTCCTCCTAGCTTGATGTTTCAAAAGCAAATGGAAGACTCCTAGCTGGACTCTAGTAATAAGACTAAGAGAGGGGGGTATGGCTCAGCTATGGTCTATGAAAAATTAGCAGCTATGGGGAAAAAAATTAAACCAAGTGCCACATTAAAAATATGGGAGACTTTCACCTCTTGAAGTAAGCTTTCAACTTTACTGATGCTTCTGAAAGATCTGCAAAGCAGGTATTTGGAAATGCTCAAGCCCACAGGAGTCCCACATACAATATCCTGAGCTCTTAAGAGACTGTGCCTGGTTTGAGAGCTGTAACTGAGGACTTTCCAGACATCCTAAGCATTTGGGATTTTTGTTCTTATGTGTTTGGCTTTAGCTGCTATCTTTCAAGTGCCCTAAATTTCAGACTTCACATTTTTGAGTCCAAATACCTTCCCTTACAAATATTTTAACTGCAATGCAAAAACATTGTTCACTTAACAAACATGGATTTGCTACTATAACTTCATTAAGATTTTCCCCCCTTTACATGCAAGAAAACTTTCTGGCAGTGACCGTCACTTCAGGGTAGCAAAGATGCATAAGCAAGCAGGCTGCTGTGCACACCTTATTACTGGATCAAGGTCTGTTCTTTCAGAGTGCAGACATAACAGCTGAAACCTACATTCGCATAACTTAAATAACATTGAAAGCCATCTATGTGACCATTACGTGGCTATTTATTACCATTTAGAAGCATTTACCTCAAATCAACACTACTCCTTCAAGCACTTGTGAAAAAGTGATTTATGCATTCCTTTACAAGATGACCCTAGGAAGAGCATCCTGTTTTGCCAACTTGCTTGCACTGTGCAGAAGCTTGTTTGAATAAACAGAAATCTGCACAGCCCCAGGAGCACTGTACAATACCAGGATTTCTAATTATAAGGCCACAAAAGAGTTGCACAAACACAAAAGACAACTTGCCCCTTCTGTTAGCCATACAGCTACCTGTGAGAAGCTTCTTTCATTAATAAAAATTAAGATGGGACAAAGCCACCAAAGCAAGTCATTGGGGCTTAGAGGACATAACATGTTGGCAGCAAAACCCATTTGTAATAGCCCAAGAAACTGTGGTCCAACCTTTGATCAGTAGCTCTGGCAATGTCCTAGCACACCACGACTGCCAAAATAAACCACCGTGCTTTGCGGTAGGAGACCACATCACGCAGGGCATCTCCACCGCGCTGCCATGTCCCTGATGCATGGACAACCCCTGAGGCCACATTAAATCTCATCCTGCAGAGAGTTTATCTGACACTCAAGCTCAACTGCAGGGATTTTCAGCCTTAAGGGAATCTGCAAGATAATACTAAATGTGTTTAGTCAGCATGTTATTTCCCAGTGGAGGCAGGGCTCAAAGGACTGCAGAGATAAAAATGAGTCAAACAATTAAGACTGTGTTAAACTAAAGACCGAATTCTGTCAGGATCAAAGATTTTGGTAATAAAGGAATGCAACTCATAATTATGCCCCTGTAAGCACTGACATTTAATGAGCTCATGCACTTTTTTGTAAGAACATTTCTCTTTTCCTGGAATGCCAATGACAGCCAAATGAACGAGCCATCACACGGAGCCTGGCTACCTCTCTGAATGTTAGGACCTGTGGTGAGGACAGGGAGAAGGAGTCTGATGGGTGTTATGGATGGAGTATCTCCAGTGGGATGCTCCAGGTGACAAGGGGGCTCACCTGTCACTTTAGTCCTGCCACGGAAGTGCCTGCAACCCTGTTGTCCCTGCAAGAGGAGGATGACAACAGTCCTGATGAGACAGACTTGATCTGTACTTGCCAAAGGGCAGATACTACCCACAAATATGTTATTTTTAGTCAAAATACAGTGTGTTTATTTTCTGATGGAGCTGATAGCAGCCCTACATACAGGCCACCTAACATTCCCCTCCACAGACTGCTGCGGGACTTTTTTTTCTAAGGGTCACTTTCAACCCAAACCATTAAAGGTCACTAGTCCAACTGCCCCGCAATAAGCAGGGACATCTTCAAATAGATCAGGATGCTCAGAGCTCTGGCCAACCTGACTTTAAATGTTTCCAGGGATGGGGTATCTTTGGGCAACCTGTTCCAGTGTTTCAGCACCCTCATCGTAAATAATTTCTTCCTTATATCTAGTCTAAATCTACCCTCTTTCAGTTTAAAACCCACCACCCCTTGTCCTATTGCTACAGGTGCTACTAAAAAGTATGTCCCCACCTTTCTTATAAGCCCACTTCAGGTACTGGAAGGCTGCTATAAGGTTTCCCTGGAGCCTTCTCTTCTCCAGGCTGAACAAACCCAACTCTCAGCCTATCCTCGTACAGGAAGTGCTCCAGCCCTCTGATCATCTTTGTGGTCCTCCTCTAGGCTCGCTCCAACAGATCTGTGCCTTTCTGAGGACTCCAGAGCTGAAGGCAGTACTGTAGGTGGGGTCTCATGAGAGCGGAGTAGAGGAGGAGAATCACACTTCTTGACCTGCTGATCACACTTCTTTTGATGCAGCCCAGGACACGATTGGCTTTCTGGGCTGTGAGCACACATTGCCAGCTCATGTCCAGCTTCTCATCCACCAGTACCCCCAAGTCCCTCACTGCAGGGCTATTCTCAGTCCCTTCATCCTCCAGCTGGTATCGATACTGGGTGTTCTTTTTGAAGAAATGTTGACACATCTACTGTTTGCAGTAACTCTCCAGTGAGCACCCTGGAAAGCCCCCAAGCCTGTGAGAAATGTCTCTGTCCCATGAAACTCCACTCACGTTGAGTCACCGAGCAGAAGTGTCAGAAACGCCACTTCCTGCCTGCCAGGGCGTTGACAGGTGCTGGGAAGGCACTGCCAGTGGCACCTGGCTCATGCCTCAGCTCAGCAAGCACTGCCTCAGTACCGTAGCGGTGCGTGCACATAACACTTTCGTTGACCCTCTCCAGCACTTGATCCTGCAGCTTCTGTAAATATTTCTGTGTGTAACTGTATGCACTCATAAACAAGGCAGTATAGCACAATCACAGGAGAAAATGAAACACCAGCTAGTATTTCAGTTTCAGCTACTGAGAGCTAATAAAACCCTTGCAGTGGTGTTTTCAGACACACACTGGTATTTCACTTTAAGTACCTGAACAGCTTGAACAAAGTAAATTGGCCAATTACACGCATGGATTGTGAATATGCATAAACCTTTACATGATCAGGGCCTGCATCTGTAAATGTGCTGTGACAGAGGAGGAAATCCGAGTTCTTCAAAACCTGTGGTACTGCATCACGCACAACCCTGCCACCACCACCAGTTTTCAAATCATCAATCAAAATTAGCATGTGAACTGTCCTTCTCCCTTCTAACATGTGCAGACAATACAACTGATTCATTAATTCATGAGGTCACCTAGATGCCCATGCACTCCCATGAGCGGTCCTACACGGCAGCCCTGTAGACAGGACCGGAGTTAGGGGTACAGGCTGGTGGCAGTCGGCTCCTCCAGTGCCAGTGGGAGCCTTGCAGCTTAGCTTCAGGCACTTCTATGCATCAGGGAAACAAAACTGAGCTCCACACTCCCTCCTGGAGAAGGAAGGTATGGCTTTGGAGATTCCAGAGTACCTGCTCCCTGAAGCATCAATAACAAAGTCAAACTTGGGAAAAGCTTTGTGTTTCCCTGCACTGGACCAGAAGGCAACAGCTTCTTGTTTGTCCAAAGCCTTGAATACCAAATAAGCCCAAAGGCTGCTCTTCAATTCTTCTTTCATTTCGGATCCCTTCTGGGTTGCTCCATCTGTAAATCTTCATTTGACTGCAGCTCATTTGATGCCGATTAACATTTAAGTGAGATTTATGTGCAACCAGCCCCTTTAGTAATGAGGAAGTGCCAAGCAATGCGTTTGCAATAGTAATTCATGGAAAAAGGCAAATGACTCCTCTTACCATTCTCCTGTCTTTACACTTTGCTGGAAAAACAAGAGAAAAAAGAAAGGCAAAAGCCTTTACAAAGCCCATGGCTGGATACAGAGCTAGCACAGGATTAATAGATCACTTCTCATCTAGCTGGAGTCTTCTGTCTCAATAGGCCGTGTGTGCACATGACATTTATGGAATTGGAACCACATTGCCTGGTAAAATTCCCTTCCATATCGGTGAGGAGAGCAGCAAGGTGTTTAGTGGAAGAATATTGTTGCAGAAAAAAAGCTGTATATTCTTAGAACTTTACAACACAAGCGCACCACTTCTGCTGATAAAGGATTATAGAGATGGGGTACTGCACAGCAGATATTTCTTTGTTTTTTTAAATCATTTACAGATGTACTACATGATCCAATAGTATCTTTCTGGTTATAGGAACTAGATATAAATAATCTGGAAAAAAGCTAGAAAATAAGAAAAATAGGTAAGAAAATTATTTTGCTGCACAAGTGGGCTGGAACAGTTAAAAATTCAGTAGAAATTTCTTAATTTTGAAAGAGTACAGGACTACAGAGGGACATTTTAAAAAGCAATTTAGAGAACTGCAAAGACAATATAAGGAGCTAAGTAGAAAGGAATTTCATTTTTATTTGCTCCTTTACCCTCTTTAATTGGCAAATGTCTACAGTAATTGACTAAACCTTAGATAGCTATACCTATTTAACACCTGGCTAAGCATCACTTAGCTGCTCAACCCTGGATGAATATAATCACATTAAATGCAATTTATGCTGATGCTGTCCTGTTAGAGTAGCATTCATAGCCATTTGGCACTATTAGGCTAGAGTCCTAGGAGACATCCCAATTAAGTACAGCCCAAAAGAGCAGCACAGCCTCTATTACCTTCTATAAATTTACTTCTTCAAAGGACTGTAGAACAGCACTAACCCCTCCTTTTTTTTTTTTTTTTGTTTAAAGAAAATCCAACACCCTAGCCTTGAAGTCTGAAATAAAAATTTTTTACTCGTATCAATCAAAATTCAATTGCTGCTATTTAAACCAGCTATATTAAAATGATACACATGCAGGAAAATGTAAATTGCTTTACAGATTTATGTATTACAAATTGGAACAAGAGTCCTTGAACCAGAAAATGATATCCTGTGGACTTGGCTTGAGATTGATTGCAATTCATGCAGAATAGCCTACAGAAGATGACTGCTGATTTCTACACACTGGTGTGACCATACAGACTCCCGCAACTGTGGGGTCACAGAGCACACACTGCCGGGCTGTGGGGAAGCTATCTCTGGAGTCTATAACCTTCAGGCTTCACTTTGCTTTCCTGCAAACAGCTGACCAGCGATCTGTGAAACCGGGAAGTAAAAAGGGGAGAGCAGCCATCACTACAGCAGAGCGGTGTCAGGAGGCTGCCATTCACCAGTGAGACGTGAACATCCACAGCGGCAGAGTAAATGAGTGGAGAAAGAGAAAAGCAAGGAAAGTGAGAGGAGATTGGAGAAGAAAAGTGGATAAATATAACACCAACAAGACCATGCTCTGGTGTGTTTCTTCTATGACATACAAATATTCTAGTATCACAAACAGTAGAGAAAATGAAGTGCAAGAAACCCAGCAGTAGTATGTATGACAAAAATTACAGATCTTCTGGATTAACACTGTAAATCCTTTACAGAGACACTTCTTCCACACAGGAAGAAGGGGAATGATTTATAGCTGAAATTAAGTCTGGGACTTTGTTCAGTCACTTGTGTTTTTATCAGGGTCACGTCAAAGAATTTATGAAGTTAGGGAGAAAAACTTGAAGGTAAGAAACCAGAAGTAGACAAAAGAAACACCATTTACTCAAGCTACAAAATCTTACTGAGGACCTTTCAGCTTCCATTTCATCTACCAGATAGACACTGAATGAAACCACTGCTTCCCTTCCATACACTCCAAAGGAAACCCACAGCCCCTTCTCCAGGTGAATATACCAACCACTTTGGAATCAAATCATGCAGGATAAGGAAGAAAAATAACTACTCCCACAAGTCTTCTCCTTCCCATTTCTCACAGATAGTCACAGTACATTTAACCACATGTACACTCAGTGGTTAGAGTTGGAAGAGATGTGGGAGAGAATGAGTTTTCCCTACGTTTCTGACAGTTGCTGGCAAGCCTAAAAACATAGAAAAGCCTTGCACTTCTTCTTCACTCCAAGTGCTCCATCCCACAGAGCTCTTGCACCTCTTCGGCTGCTTCCCAGCTACAACCCAGAATGGCAGACTTGGCCACCACCACATTACCATGGTCATTAATTTTTGATCCAAGTAGCTAAGATGCTCTCCAAGCATCCCAAAGAAACTTTTTGGAGACTTGTCTTATTTCCATTCTCACACAACTTGAAAATGGGTTTCCTTGCAGCAAAACATCAGTTCTGCATTTATTAAATTCTCCTCAGATGGTCTGGCATTGACACAGCGTAGCTTGTTTTTCTAACTCATGCATGAAGTTTGTAGGGCAAATTATCCCCTGCTGAAAGGCTGTTTGCTTCATTCCTTGATAACGTCACTTGTTAGCTCTCAAGGAGGAGCTACGGCTACTTTGTGCAATACTCAGAGGCTTTAATCTGTCAGCCCTAAAACACACAGCCTGCTGGTTTTTCTTTGATGTCTTATCGTTACCACAGTTACGCCTGCTTCCAAAATTTGTTAAAACCCTCATAGAGCTGATGCGTCCGATACCCAGCTCAGCCCTTCAGAGGCCAGCGCTTCCAAGCCTGAAAGCATTTGCACGACTTTCACTCCAATTTCCTTACAGTGGCCTGATCCTCATGAAGCTGCAGAAGCTGTTCCCCCAGCTGCACTTCCCACATCTCAACGCTGCCTACCACATCCTCTTGTGGGGAGGGAACAAGACTCCCATCAGCCTTGCCACCGCTGCCTTGCTAGCCAGAAAGACAGCTCTGAGATGTCACAAATCATTTCCCTTTCTGCTACCGGGGGCTATATTCCAGCCCTGCAGAGAGCCACAGATTTACATAGAACTCCAGATCCATGATCTGTGTTGACAACAGTACAGGCTGTACAGTTAAGATTTACGTTCCATGCTGGTCCTCCTTCCCAAGCTCACCTCATGATCCTACAGCTGAAGTACTAGTGTCAGGGTAAGGAGGACAGTCTATCACACGTGCTGTGGTCACCACCAAGACTGCCCTGGAGACTCTGCACTCTTATAGCACCAGCAGCACAAGGGGAGCCTGGCTAACAGCATGCCACATCCAGCTGGTGCATGGGGGTCAGATGGGGCTCACTGCTGCTCACCAGCTGCTAGACAGACAGGGCAAGATGAAAAGTCAAGCAGCACCTTAGACCTCAGCTAGTTTTTTAACTGAACTTAAGGGAAGACAGAACTTCAGGGACAGATCCTGTCAAAATCACTGACCGCTGACTTTACTG